ACTGTGCAGCTTCAGCGGGATGCCATGGGTTGGCCACGGGTGCGCTGCGCTTCCCAGATGTTGCGGTGTGATCGCACCCTGAAAATCTGCCTGACATTTGTGCCTTTAGCGCAGCAAATCCTCTGTGTGACCGGGGCCTTGGTTGTTGATATAAATTGCAATTTCGTCATTCTTCACAGTGTGTATGCTTAGTTTGACAGCCTATCCTGTGATCTCTCTACTTTTGAAACCACCTGGAGGTAGGCAACCCTACCTATTTTAGAGGAAACTTTAGCCATTATAAAATTGCCACAAGGGCCTATTGCCACCATCACATCTAGGTTGACCCTCAGATGTCTACCACTTTATGCTGCTGCATGTGTAGACAGGGCCTAGAAGAAGAAGAAGAAGAGATTGGATTTATACCCCGCCCTTCACTACCCAAAGGAGTCTCAGAGCGGCTTACAAACTCCTTTCCCTCCCCCTCCCCACAACAGACACCCTGTGAGGTAGGTGGGGCTGAGAGAACTCTTGACAGAAACTGCTCTTTTTCAAGAACAGTTCTTATCAGAACTACGGCTTGCCCAAGGTCATCCAGCCAGGTGCCAGTGGAGGAGTGGGGAATCAAACCCAGTTCTCCCAGATTAGAGTCCGTGCACTTAACCACTACACCAAACTGGCTCCATAGCCACCTATAATACGCCTCACCTTTCTTGAGGCCACACAATGCAGAGATTGACTGGTTGTGGGGGATAACCCAACCCGTTTCTCCATTGCTAATCTCATTAAGGGACCTCATTAAGCCCCTGGGAGGGACTGTGGCTCAGTGGCAGAGCATCTGCTTGGCGTGCAGAAGGTTCCAGTTTCAATCCCCAGAATCTCCAGTTAAAAGGACAACACAGTAGGTGATGTGAAAGGCCTCCACCCGAGACCCTGGAGAGCCACTGCCAGTCATAGGAGACAATGCTGATTGTGATGGACCAAGGGTCTAATTCAGTATAAGGAGCTTCGTATGTGTTCATATGTGACCCCAGGTAAACTTCCAAGGAATCTGAGTGTTCTCCAACATATTGCTTGAAAAGCACTGTAAATGAGACAGGAACACAGTCAGGAAAGGAGAATCTACTTGGCCTAGAAATGGGATGGGGTCATCGGAGATGTTTAGGCCCCAGATAATGTAGGGCAGGTCTCAACGCTGGTTTTACAAACACTGCAACTCAGCTTTTGTTTCCCATAGAAAGACAATTCTATAGCAGATTCTACGGAATCCCCCTGGCAGCTTCGTATTTCTCGTTTCCCATAGAATTGTCTTTTCTCTCCGAAACAAAGGCTGGTTAATGGAATTGGCCCTGATGATTTAAACACACAAAGAAGGAGAGATTCAATGAGAGCACAGAGCAGGTGAGTCTGGCTGATGACTTCAGTCTTTTGCCAGAATGCCCTAAAGCGATGGAGTCTCTCGAGCATGGCCGCGTGACTTTTTGTTACGGATCCTACTGCAGTTGAAACGTTCACACACCTGTCCTGTGATAATAGATTTCCCTTTTTTGCAATTGCTTATACTCGGTTACTTTGAACTGACATTTCACAGAATCAGCAAATAGTCTCTTCAGAGGTGAATAACTGGCCAGAAGCTTCGATGGACTCAGGGCCGGCTCACCCACTAGGCGAACTAGGCATTCGCCTAGAGCGCCGGGCCCTGGATGTGGCGCCAAGCTGTGCCTCCCCCTCCTCCCCCCTTTGGTGGCAGCAGGGGTAGGGGGGAAGAGGCAGTGGTGGTGGCAGCAAAAGGGTGTCTGGCTCCAGAGGTCTCCAGGCCCCACTGGGAGGTTGGCATCTGCGCCACAAGGCAGCCTCGCCTAGGGCGCAGAAACACCTTGAGCCGGCCCTGGATGGACTGAATCACAAATGAGATATTTGTGAAAGCAAAATGAAGGCCCAACACAAAAGCCCAAAATGCCAGAGTGTCACCATACGACGTCCCTGGTGTGTTGAGGTCAGTTCTGCATGATGTCATCATGCTGTGGACGTCGTGCATGGCGACGACGCCTCACCCCCGCTCCCAGGAAGCTCCCTCCCACCCACTTGCCAGCAGAAGAAAAGAACCTGGCACCCCTTTCAGAGTCCACCCTCCAGAGCACCCATTTTCTCCAGGGAAACTGATCTCTGTAGTCTGGAGATGAGCTGTAATTCCGGGGGATCCCCAGGTCCCACCTGGAGGATGGCATCTGTAGTGTATTCAAAGCTGCCTTGAATGCATGACTTGTGAAACATCTAACTGAACTGTGATGTTAAGCTTCATCCTGGGACAGGATCCAAATCCATCCCATAGAATCACTAGCCCAGGAAGTAACGAGCCAATCATTTCAAGCGAGCTCCCGGAGCGGGAAGTAATGTGATTGGACCTTATCTTGGCAACCTCATAGGTTGATATGTGTACAGTGGGTGTGGCTACATTAGCCGGAAATGTTTAAAAGCAGGACAGCTGCAATGTAAAGGCTGTTCTGGCTCTCAGATCTTGATCTGTGTTGGAGTTGTGTTCGAGTTGAAGAATAAAGTTGTGTTCTTGCTGAATCACTCTCCAACTTCTTTGTTAAGTAGCCGACTTAACAGCATCCCTACCCCCCTTCATGTTGCCCCCAGTGTACCATGCCCTATTAGGGCCCTGGCCTGTAGCTACAGTGGGGCATCTTGGGGCTGGGCCCCCGACTTACTGCCCAGGCCTCCCGACTTCCCATCCAGCCGGCTTATTTTATTTTTTGTGTGCCACAGCCATGCCAAGCTGAGCCAATGCCCTGCCCTGCTTGCCAGCAGTGTACTTCTAGCTGGCTTCAGGAGAGGCATGCCACAGGGCACATCTGATCCCTACTCCAGCGCTCTCTTTCTCTCTCACACACGTTTAAAACCTTCACAGGTGCTCACCCACTCGTGCCTTCATTTCTTTTACAATATTGTCCAAAGATGCCACTTAAGTATGCCTAAGGGTATATCTCGCATAGAGGTTTCGGCAAGCACCCTTTTGGAAGAGGCGAGCCCCAGTAACTCGTATAGTGTCCTCTGAAGCTGCTTGAAATTCCCACATGTACGTAAGAGATGCTTAATAATGAAGTGAAGAATGAACGTTATCGCTCGGGACGCGCAATCGGAAATTTACTAATCAAGATCCCACCCAAACAATCCCATTTGTAAATATCTTAAATACTCTGCTACCCAAAAAAGATTTCCCCCCCACACTTTAGGGAACAGTCAAAAACCTTCCAATCATAAATCAGATTTTGAGTTTATTTGATACCCTATATTGAACTATTTAGAGCAACATGGTGAAATTTTTTTAAATGCCGAATCTATATAGATTAGTTTCAATGCTTAATTTTTAAAGCGTAATAGAAATAATACAAGCATTTGAAACTGGATAGTATCTCTTAATAGTTTCTGTAAATTTGTTGTACGTGATTTTAACGGTTTGTAATTATTTGTGCAATAAAAAACTAAAAAAAGGAAAAGGAACCTTCCAATCTACCCGTTATTCTGGTGCCATGCTGTCTGGTTTCATTTTGCTGGGTAGGGGAAGGTGGCAGAGTTTGTGAACGAATCATGATTGCAAATGTGAGTGTGCAGCTAAACACGGTTAGCGTTTGGTGTTCAGATTGGTAAACCATGGTCTGGGGTTGGGGCTCCCTCTCCCGGCCTTCGACAGGGTGCCTTTGGTGCCTGTGCAGGAGGTTAGGAGTTTGGGTGTGCTCCTGGACTCCTCGTTAACGATGGAGGCCCAGGTGGTAGCCACTGCCAAGTCGGCCTTTTACCATCTGTGGCTGGCTCGGCAGTTGGTCCCCTACCTCGACCGTGAGGCCCTGGCCACTGTGATCCATGCGACGGTCACCTCGAGGCTAGACTACTGTAACACTCTCTACTTGGGGCTGCCTTTGTCGCAAATCTGGAAGCTACAGCTAGTGCAGAATGCTGCAGCTAGGCTGTTGATGGGCCTCTCTAGGCGAGACCACATCCGGCCGGTGCTGCAAGCGCTGCACTGGCTGCCGATAGCATACCGGATTTGCTTCAAAGTGCTGGTTCTTACTTTTAAAGCCCTGAATGGCCGGGGTCCAGCTTACCTAAGGGACCGTCTCTTCCCGTATGTTCCCCCAAGAGCACTACGATCGGGGAGCCTTTACCTCCTGGAAGTCCCAGGCCCCTGAGATGTTACGTTTGCCCATACTAGGGCCAGGGTGTTTTCGGTGGCGGCTCCTACCTGGTGGAATGAGCTCCCAGAGGAGATCCGGGCCCTGCGGGACCTTATACAGTTCCACAGGGCCTGCAAGACGGAACTCTTCCGTCAGGCTTTTGAGTAGGGGCCGCAACCGCCATTATTCCCCTATTATGGGGGGTATGTGTCACCTGGCGGAATTGGGGAGAACATCACCGCTGGAGCCCTCGCTATTTAATAAAGCTGGCCGTCGATTTGGGATTACTGCCCATCTTGGGGATTTATATATAGGATAATAGAGCACCTTAAATATTGTTATGAATCTTATTGTGGATGTGTAATATTGTAATATGGAGCTGCGGTGGCTCAAATGGTGAAGACGCTGAACTGCAGGCTGTGGAAGGTCGGTAGTTCAGCAGTTCGAGACCCGGGTGTGCCGCATGATGGAGTGAGTTCCTGTCTCAAGTTCCAACTCCTGCCAACCTAGCAGTTCGAAAGCAAGAAAATGCAAGTAGATAAATAGGGACCACTTCGGTGGGAAGGTAACAGCGTTCCGTGCGCCTTGGTGTTTAGTCATGCCGGCCACATGACCACGGAAACGTCTTCGGACAGCGCTGGCTCTTTGGCTTTGAAACGGAGATGAGCACCGCAACCCTAGAGTCGGACTCGACTGGCTTTCGAGCAAGGGGAACCTTTACCTTTAATATTGTTTTATTGTATTTTATCTATTTAACCTGGCATTAGCCGCTTGTTAGCCGCCCTGAGCCGCTTGGAAGGGCGGGATATAAATCTCAAATAAATAAATAAATAAATAAAAAAGATGACTGCTTATGGGCAATTAAATGCATCCTTCTCGGCCCACTTCACCCCACCCTGGGTGGCCAATGCATCCTCTTCCGTCACCTCAGAGGACATATTGGCCACCAGGGGTGAGGTGAGAAAGATGCGTCCTGCAACCCAAAACAGTGTTCAATTGCCCAGAAGCAGCCACCAAGCATGCTGAGACCAGGGATGCCAGCCTTCAGGTGGGATCGGAGGACGCCCGAAATTACAGCTCATCTCCGGACGACAGAGATCAATTCTGCTGGAGTAAACAGATGCTTTGGATGTCCTACACCCCATCCCCTGCTGGTGGTCAAGGGGCGACTGGCAACCCTAGCTGAGACACAGATGAACAGTCAGCGTAACTTGCGAGCAGGCTGCAAACTGAATTGTCAGGTGATCGAACATACTTGCTTGGATATCCTGTTTAAATCCCAGAGGTTCCTAGTGTGGGTGAAGATTCCAGCTGCAGTATCTTCGCCTTAAGAGGGATAAAGCTCTGATACAGCCTTGCCGTTTTAGCAGGACTGTGCATTATTGGAATGTGTTTTGGTGTTCTTTTTCATTCCTCTGACGGCGCTTTCCCCAGATGAACAGGATCATCCTGAGCCTCACCGGATGAGACGAAAGCACCTCTCTTGCCTCCGGGGAGAAAGCGAAGAGAGAGACAAAGGCCCTATCATCGAGAGCTTTGCGACAAATTTCTCGAACATCTACGAGTCAGGTACATTGAATATCTGATTAATATTTTAGTATGTGGGGAGAGGAGACGTACAGACTCCAGATTTGTTTGTACAGCTTGTGAATCTCCGTCAGTTTTCTTCCAGGCTTTTAAATTCAAAATGTGGAAGAGCGATGCACTTATTCAGTCTGCTCGTCACGGTTGCCCACTCTGGCCTGGGACATTTTTGGAGATTTTGGAGGTGGAAGCTGGGGGATGTGGGGTTTGAGGAGGGGAGGGGACCTCAGTGAGGTACGATGCCATAAAGCCCACCTTCCAAAGCAGCCATTTTCTCCGGGGGAAGTGATCCCTGTCACTTGGAGACCACTTGTAATTCCAGGAGATTTGCCACCTGGAGACTGACACCCAATGTTCCCTCTAAGCTGTGGAATCTGGTGAGCAAAAATTCTACTTTGTGAGCCACTACTGGCATTAAAGTTTTGAGTGAGCGATTTGGCTACGGCATCAGTTAGCTTGCTCCGGAGCCCTCCTTCCTGAGCTAGGACAAAAATGTGTGAGCCGGAGTCTAAAAAACTGTGCGCTAGCTCACACTGACTTAGCTTAGAGGGAACGCTACTGCTCGTTGCTGATTCTGGTAACATCTGAAGCAGGCCATAGCCTTCAGAAGAGAGAAGAGACATTTTTTTTTTCCTTTCAGTGGAGACATTCGGCACATTTCCTCTCTCTATATTGTTCCCTGTGTGTATGTCAGCTGGTGCTTCCTGGCTCCATAAGCAAGGGTGGTCCCTTCAAGGAGAACATTTCTCAACGGCAGTGATAGATTTGTGGACTTCTTGGCTCACGTAGACTCTCCAGGCCTGCTCACTTATGATTTCGGGAGCCTATTAGTGTCTCTTCAGGGTCTTAGATAAAGAAAGGTCTTTCCTGTCAGTGTTCACAACTTTTTAACTGAATTCACCATAAATTGAACCTGAGCCCTTCTGCGTGAAAAACATGCATTTTGTCAGGGATCCTGAGGTCCCTTCTGGAGATGGCCTCTGGCAATGGGGCCCAGGCTTTTGTTCCAAGCTTCCTTTTGATAGGGTTGTCAGGTTCTTACTTTGATTTTTTTTTGGGGGGGGCTCCTCTCTCCCTCCTGGTGACCATAGAGTTTTTTCTCAAATTCTAGAGCGTCCCCCCCCCACAAAGTGCCCTGCATGACGTCACCTCCAGGTGACGTCATCGTGCCGGGCATGTCAGTGCCGATGGGGCTGCTCGGGGGTGGGGCTTCTCCACCGACCAGCTGGACAGCGGTAGATTGGGGCCCCCCAAAAGCGGGGAAACCACACCCTTATCGGGGTGTGTGTGTGTGTGTGGCAACACTACCTCTGGAGCCCTAGATTTCACAAAATACTATACAGTGTTTCCTTTGGGTTTTCTTCCCCCTGCCCCCCAGAGTTGCTTCCTGCCAGGAACGGTGAGAAATTCACAGAACATTTCCTTCACGAAGTAGTGGATATTCTCCTGAGCTACATCAAGAAAACATACGACGGGAAGAGTAAAGTGCTGGACTTCCATCACCCTCACCAGCTTTTGGAAGGCTTAGAAGGCTTCAGTGTGGAGGTCTCTGATCAGCCGCAGCCTTTGGAGCAAATACTCGTTGACTGCAGGGATACCTTAAAATACGGCGTTAAGACAGGTAACCAATGGGCAGAACACTGTGGGCATAGCATTGCTATGGGGGAATGTAACTCTGTTCAGTGTCCTGATAACCTCACATAAGAATCCCGTGGTTTCCAAGCTTTCTGCTTTCTGAAATAGACGCATGACCAGTCCACAAATTCCCTCAGCCATTGATTCAGTTTGCATGGTGGAGAAGCAGATAACGATGCTACTTCTCCATCATTGTACATGATACGATGGAGTTTTGTGGCACCAGTCCACAAATTCCCTCAGCCATTGATTCAGGTTGCATGGTGGAGAAGCAGATAACTACGCTACTTCTCCATCATTGTACATGACACAGTGGAGTTTTAAGGACTAAGGATGGAGCTGCGGTGGCTCAAGTGGTTAAGACGCTGAACTGCAGGCTGTGGAAGGTCGGTCGTTCAGCAGTTCGAGACCCGGGTGTGCCGCATGACGGGGCGAGCTCCCGTCTGTAGTTCCAGCTCCTGCCAACCTAGCAGTTCGAAAGCAAGAAATTGCAAGTAGATAAACAGGTACCACTTCGGTGGGAAGGTAACAGCGTTCCGTGCGCCTCGGTGTTTAGTCATGCCGGCCACATGACCACGGAAACGTCTTCGGACAGCGCTGGCACTTTGGCTTTGAAACGGAGATGAGCACCGCAACCCTAGAGTCGGATTCGACTGGCTTTCGAGCAAGGGAACCTTTACCTTTACCTTTTTAAGGACTAAGGCTTGGATCCCCTACATTACCTTCGGGTGTATAATGTAGTCTTTCTTTGTGGAGTGTGTTCCTCCAGCAGTACGTAGGGTTACCGGGTCCAAAGTGGGAAGCTCCTGGAGATCTGAGGGTGGAGCCTGGGGAGGACAGGGAGCTCAGCGGGGTACAAGGCCATAGAGTCCTCCCTCCAGAGCATCCATGTTCTCCAGAGGAACTGATCTCTGTAGTCTTGAAATGAGCTGTAATTCCAGGGGATCTTGGGGCCTGACCCCCTGACTTACCGCCAAGCCCCCCCAACTTCCCATCCAGCCCCCAGGCACTCATTTGGGGGGGGGGTGCAGGAGTGTGTGCAGGGTGCCCCCTGACATATCTAAAGGCCCCCCGAATTTAAAAAATCCTGGCTACGAACCTGCTCAAAGTTACAGTGACTGACACGTGGTGGCCCCACGAGGACAAGAAAGAGCAGCAACGACTGTGTCTTTGAAGTCTGTTACATGATGAAGTGGTCCATCATGGGAAGAAACGGCCAATATGGAAAGCTGATGAAGGGCCAGGCCCTTCATCTCAACATCTAGTTCACTAGGAGGATGGAATGTTTTCTGTGGAGGAGCATTCATTCATGTAACCGTCTGTCTCCATTCTGAAAGGCTGCAGCCCAGGTATGGGTTTATTAACTCGGTGAGAATTAGGCTATAGGCAAAAGGGCCGCTGAGATGACTTATGTAGTCAATCCCCTTCACTCCCTCCTTCCCTCGTACAAATCTAATGTGGATCTGTAACACAACTTGGGTTGCCAGCTCTGGGTGGGGAAATACCTGGAGATTGGGGGGTGGAGCCTAAGGAGGGCGGGGTTTGGGGAGGGGAGGGACCTCATTGGTGTACAATGCCACAGAGTCCACCCTCCAAAGCAGCCATTTTCTCCAGGGGAACTGATTCCTGCCATCTGGAGGTCGATCGTAATAGTGGGAGATCTCCAGGCCCCACCTGAAGGTTGGCAACACAACCGATCTACCTCTGACACACACACACACACACACCCATTTCCTTCTCAGTAGTTCAGTTACATGCTGTAATTGTCCTTTTCTCTGCAAAGAAGGAGGGGGCTGGTAAGTGGAAATGCTACTGGAGCAAGCTCAGCTTAGAGGCCCCTGCATGGTGGTGACCAGGAGTCATTTCCTGCAGGAGCACACAGGAGCGGAGCTCTGGCAGTAAAGAGCCCAGGGGGCGGGCACATGCAACAAGCCCCGCCCCCTGCTCTCAGCAGTCCTCAGTCAGAGCAAGAAGCAGCCAGGTAAGCTGCAGAGCCCCCCCCCCAGTCCCCCGGTCGAAAACAGTCCAGTGGCACCTTCATGTTTTATTCATGTAGGAGCTCTCCCTCCTCTGTGAGGACAGATCTGCACATTCCCTCCCCCCAATAGCTAACAATCCAAAACAGTCCAGTGGAGCCTGAGCGGTGGGTGTTGTCTTCTAACACACTTCTGGTGATACCAGGGTGTGTGGCATATGCAAATGAGTATGCTAATGTGTTATGCTAATGAGTGTCCACACCTCTTTTCCTACGAAATGGCCCCTGTGACAGCAAGGCCCACTGCCACCGACCTGCCAGCCCCTCCTGCTGCCCACCTGCCTGTTCTCCCCCTGCCGATTGCCTGAAAGCATCCTGCCACCCGTGCCCCCAGCCATACGCACTGCCCCTCATCATGGAAAGGGCCCGTGGGTGCTCCAGGCAGTTGTGCGCATGAGCTGTGAGAGGCCCATTGTGAGTTGGTGGGGAAAGGATGCACAGGCACATGGGTCTATGGTTTGGAAGGGGGGCACGAATGGGGGCCCCCGGTAGTGGGAAGGGAAGGGGCACACATAGGTCTGTGGCTGGGAAGGGGGGCACGAATGGGGGGGCCTGGTGGTGGGCAGAGGAGAGGGACACTTGGGTACTCTCTGCTCGGGGGCCCCCCACCCACAATCTGGAACTGGCCCTGGTGACAACAAATGGGCACTGGTTGACCCACCTCCTCCAATGCAAACTGGCAGGAGGGCAGGAGGACGCAGTTGGTGAGCTGAGACCAATCATCGTTGCCACGGAAGGGTCCAGGCCAAGTTGCCTCTGTGGTGCCCCTGGGGCTTCACCCGCCTTGTTCCTGGCCACCAGTGGCCCTCTACGGTAGCAGCCCACCAGGAAATGGCCCTATAAGTTAAATGGCCAGTCCGTCAATGTTAAAAAGCCTTGGAAAACAGACTTGGGCCAATAATGAGTTAAACTAGCGATCTCCCCTTTTCATTGGGCCTTGGCTTTTGTTCTTGATCGTGTTGAACGGCATATGTGCAAACAACGTCTACACCCCTGGACTAAATCGTGAATTCCCTCTGCCCCTTTCCTTGCCGAGTGGTACTTTTTAGTTGTCCAAACTGTTGAGCGCTGATGCGTTTGTTGATCATCAACAACAACAACAAAAAGAAATGCTTCCCAAATTGATCTGTAAAGGAGGGTTTTTAAACATTCTTTTAAAAGGACATCCTCGATATTTCAACCAGCTCTCTAGTGGCCTTGACGTTATTGGACTGGCTGGGGAATGGCTGACAGCGACGGCAAATACCAACATGTATGTATTTTGAATCTTTTTTAAAAAATAAAATAAAATATTGTTTCCATTAATAACAACAAGCCAAACTACATTTTCATTAATTTTAAAGAGAGCCAGTCTGGTGTCGTGGTTAGGAGCGCAAGTGGACTCTACTCTTGGAGAACCGGGTTTGCTTCCTCCACATGCAGCTTGGGTCAACCACAAGTTCTTTCAGAGCTGTTCTCTAAAGAGCAGTTTGTGTCAAGAGCTCTCTCAGCCCCCACCTACCTCACAGGGTATCTGTTGTGGGGAGGGGAGGGGAAGGGAAAGGAGTTTGTAAGCCGCTCTGAGACTCTGAGTGAAGGGAGGGGTATAAATCCAATCTCTTCTTCTCCTCCTCCTTCTTCATCATCAGTCTCTTGTAGACAGATGGTGTGAGGGTTGCCACTAGTCCTCAGGTGGGGGCAGGGG